CAATTAGATTTGTGTTTACTATGTAATTTGTTACACAAAAAAAATTTGCCATGCAGATCATATGATAAATGATCTACGTATACTCTACCCTTAAAGCTCTGTTATATAATGATGACAAGTCATTTGACAAATTGGGGCTTGGATGCTTCGAGGCACGTGATTTCATGCAAATTCGATTATAAATCACCATCTAGAAGACGCGAAAACGACACGCCTGTGAATCAATCAATTATCCAATTTCGCATTCATCGGATAAAATGCCGCTCGCGAAGAAAGAAGCTTCGTCAGAATCGAACTCGCACAACGTGAATACTAAACCGAAACAAGAAAAAACTTCACCAGTTAAAAAAACTCAAAAAACACTCTTTTCGTTCTTGGGCTTACCTACTCCAAGTACCAGTAGGTTAGACGAAAACGAAATCGAAAAGGATGAAATCCAAGAGCAAGAGACTCCAGCACCAGAAACACCCGCTACTGACAAATCAAATGTTGCTCTAGCTAGCAGTACAGATATGGACGGCTCGAGTTCCGGAAAAGAGTCTGAGGTGCTAACTTTGGGCAGAAGAATCCTAAGAGTATATTTTAAGTCTTATATATTAATTATGTACGAATGGCTGTAGAACAAAACCATTGATAATTTTCTTTGTTTGCAGGGAAGGGTTAAACGCAAAATTTGCATTTCATCAGATGAAGAGAGTGAGGACATTGTCAGCTCTCCACGTATTTATCATAAAATTTCACTTTTATAGATAGCTTATGTTAATATAATATAATCAATTAATTCATTATTTTTCATAGAAAAATCCTTGGTGCAAAATACAATTCAAGAAACTTCATCGCGTCGAAAAAAAACAAAGAAAAATGATAATGATGAATATAATGATAGCAATTGCGATGAAGATAGCGACGATGCTGGTACTATTTTTTAAAAAAAAAAATTAAAAGTCGTGATACGATTCAAATGTGTGTATCATTTAATCATTTTTTTCAACCTGTAGCTGTTAGTGACGTGGTCGAGGAGAGCGACTATGAAGATAAAAAGTCTCGTTCTAAAAATATTTCCAAGAAAACTGCGAATAAAGCTCCTGGAAATTTAAGCACCATTCAGAATAAATTAAAGGCTTGTTTCTAAACTTTCTTTTTTTAAAAAAAAAAAATTCATAAATTAAATTATTCACATAAAATTAAAATTTTTATTAGGCGTTTGCCTCAAATTCCGCTATGCGTCGCGGATCATCGTTTTCTTCGAAAATTCACATGACGGATTCTGAGAAAAAAAAGGTAATCTTTAATTTTTTATATATTATTCTAAATTAAATTTATAACCATTTCACCAAATAATGGTATTTTTTAAATATTAAGCAACGTGCGTCAGATTTTAAGGCCAAGAATGAGGAGCGTTACAGCTGGTTACAAGAAGTCAAGGATGCTGATGGAAATCTAGAAGGTGATTATAATTTATCTTAATAACATGATGATTTACTTATCTTAATAACATGATGATTTACTTATCTTAATAACATGATGATTTACAACAAAAATGTTATACAGGATCACCTGACTATGATTCTCGAACATTATTCATACCTCGTTCTGCTTGGAATAAGTTTACACCTTTTGAAAAACAATTCTGGGAAATAAAATCGAAACACTGGGATACTGTAAGTTTTAAGAATAGTGTAAAAGATTTTATTATATTTAAAAATGCTACTGTATTAATTTAATTTTTAAATAACATTAGGTGGTTTTTTTCAAGAAAGGAAAATTCTATGGTATGCACGTGGATATGTCTCTAAGTAGTGGTGTAAAATTATTTCAATATATTTATTTACATATAAGTATTATTATTTTAATTTACAGAATTATATGAACGTGATGCGGATATTGGACATAAGGAATTTGATCTTAAGCTTACTGACCGCGTAAACATGCGCATGGTTGGCGTGCCTGAAATGGCTTTTGAATCTTGGGCTGCACAGTTCATTGCCAAAGGGTAAACATTATAATAATAATGAATTTATACAAAATAATTAAGATTCGTTATTGAAACTTTATATCTTACTATATATAAGACACAAAGTAGCGAAAGTAGATCAGATGGAGACTGCAATCGGAAAAGAAATGCGCGAAAAAGCTAGCAATGTAAAGGTATAACTATTTATTGATTTGATTCATTTTGTTCATGATTAAGTGCCAATTCCTACAATGCCTTTTTTTATACTTGAATTCTTGTATGCAACATTATAGGAAGAGAAAATTATTCGACGTGAACTGACGTCTGTTCTTACTGCTGGTACGATTGTCGAAGGTGGATTATTGACCAATGAGATGGCAACATATTGCATGTCGATTAAGGTTTATACATATAAATTTATCATAATTTAATGTCTTACTACCATCGGAGGATTTATTTTTATTTATCATATAATAATTCGCATATAGGAATCATGTCCTGCGGAAAATGCCCCACCTACTTTTGGGATTTGTTTTGTTGACACCGCAACAGCAGAATTTCATCTCGCGTCGTTTGTCGATGATGTTGATAGAACTCAGTTTGAAACGCTGATTATGCAAGTAAAACCAAAAGAGATAGTATACGAGAAGGTAATTTTTATCGGTGCTCTCAATAAATTTCTTTTTCTTGACGTTAAAACCTTACATGTATAAATACAAATAAACAGGGAATGCTTAGTCAATTATCAAAGCGTATCTTGAAAGATTGTACCAATCGTCCAATATGGACTGCACTCAAACCTGAAAGTGAATTCTGGGATGCTAATACAACGAGAAGTCAACTTAGGATGTCTCGATACTTTTCTAGTAATCAAAATGCATCAATTGCGCAAAATGATGTAGATAATGATGGTGATATAACAATGTTTAATAATGATGAAGGAAACAAAATTGGTGAGTTTATATAATTTATAAAATAATCTATTATAGGTAATTAACCGTTGGTAATAAACTTTATAGAAACATGGCCAAGTGCGGTTCAAGAAGCTTTAAAGGATCCTCTGATGCTATCAGCTTTAGGAGGTATGCATTATTACATGTTATCAAATGTGATTCAATTTCTCTAAAACTTTATTTTAAAACTTTTATTATAAAGGACTTATTTGGTATCTACGTTCGGTAAGTTATCTGTTCTTTTAATAGTATATTTCAATCATCATTCAAGAACGATAACATTTAAAATTTAACCTGTTAAAAATAGTTGAAACTTGATGCCGAACTTGTTTCTCTCCGAAATTTTCATATCTATGATCCGATATGCCATAATACCTCACTTGTTCTTGATGGACAAACATTAGCAAATCTTGAAGTTTTTGAGAATAGCTTAGACGGAAGTACTCGAGGAACTGTATTCCAATTATTAAACCACTGTATTACTCCCTTTGGTAAAAACAATTCTTGAACTAAATTATAAAGTTTTGATTTACTTATTTGTAAACTGAGTTTTTATTTTTGGCAATTTAACAGGAAAGCGCGCTTTCAAACAATGGTTATGCCATCCACTTCGTGACGTTGCTGCTATTGACGCACGTTTAGATGCGATCGAAGAATTAAACTCCGTTCCTGACTTTCAAGATATGTTCACTGAAAATTTTTCTCATTTTCCTGACCTTGAACGCTTGATAAGCAGAATTCATGCTGGAACGTGTAAGGTGAAAGATTTTTTGCACGTATTAGTTACTTTCGAAAAATTGACGGTAAGTGTTTATAAAATAGTATACAAGTTATATAAAACATAACAACTATTATAATAACTTATTGTAACAACTTATTATTATTTATATATAGAATACAATTGAGAAGTTGAGTAGTTTTGCGAGTGACTTCAAATCGACTAGATTGAGACGGCTATTCGAATCTTTTCCCGACTTGAAACCAATGCTTACCCATTTCAAAGGAGCCTTCGACCATGAAAAAGCATATAAAGAAGGTAATATGCCTTTTTACGCTACATTATTATTTATATTATTGCTAACATATTTACATCGTATTTATTAGGCAATCTATTACCATTTTCTGGAATTGAAAGTGATTATGACGAAATTATTGACAGAATGGCGGAAATTAACAAAAAGCTTGACGATCATTTAGAAGATGCAAAGGTGCTATTAAAGTAAGGAGAAGGAATCTTTATTTATTTCCGTAATGTTATTCGAATTGAATTCAAAACCTGTTTTATTTGTGCAGAACCAAATCAATTGTTTATAAAGACCTTGGGAAGGAAATTTTCCAGCTTGAGGTTCCGAATACAATCAAGGTACCGGATAATTGGCAGAAACTATCACGCACGCAGGTGAATATAAGGAAATGATATTGTCGTGTCATAGCGTCATTTTTTAAATTGTATTGTTTTTTTTTTTTACTTTGTTTACTTGTTTTGTACTCCTTAGAAAGTCAATCGTTATTGGAATCCAACTCTCCAAAAACTTGTTAGGGATTTTCAAGAAGCAAAAGAAACACAGTCTAGTATATTGAAATCTATACAAGGCCGTTTTTATCAAAAATTTGATGCACATTATCGTAATTGGCTTCTTGCCGTCAAAATTGTTGGTGAAGTTGATTGTTTGCTTAGTTTGGCTAAAAGTTCAATGACATTGGGTGGTAAGTTAATATGTTTGAGATCGATTCGCAATTAATTGTATATTATCGTTTAGTATTAAATCATTATTAAATCTATTCTAGAACCTCGTTGTCGTCCCCAATTTGTGTCACAGGAACAAAGCATTTTAGAATTTGAAGAGCTTAGACACCCCTGTTTTATTTCCGGGTATGCATTTTATTATTTGAACGATCAATAAAAAATTGTTAGATTGCTTCGTTATTATTATAAATTTTGTTGACTATTTTTTTTTTTTTTCTCATCAAGTGCAACTTTTGATTTCATACCTAATGATACATTCCTTGGTGGTGATCAACCAAACATGATATTGCTTACGGGTCCAAATATGGGCGGTAAATCCACTCTTTTGCGCCAGGTTAGAATTTCTCAGAAATATGTGTATTCGACTAAAGATTTAGTATAAATTCTGACGCATATAGTTTTTAATCAATAGAATTGTGTGGCAATTATTATGGCACAGCTTGGTTGCTATGTTCCTGCGAGACGTTGTCGTATGACACCATTTGATAGGATATATACACGCATTGGTGCTAATGATAATATCCTTGCAGGTCAAAGTACTTTTATGGTAGAGTTAAGCGAAACCTCGAAAATTATTCACGAAGCGACACCTAGATCTATGGTTATTCTTGATGAACTAGGACGCGGCACGTCTACCTTTGATGGTTACGCTATTGCTTATTCGGTTTTATATTATTTGGCGACGCACATTGGTTGTCTTGGTTTATTTTCTACACATTATGGCATGCTTACACAAGAATTTGCCAACAATCCCAATATTGCACTTAAACACATGAGTTGCCATGTTGATCAAGATCGTAGGGAAGTTACCTTCTTGTACAAACT